CTTAAAAATAAGACTGCCCTTATTATAAGACAACCCCCCAATAAAGAGATTCTATATTTGGAAAATTTACAAATTCGTTACAGTGTTCCCGGTACAGAATCTAATTATTGGGGATTTCCTTACATTTGTCTCTCTCCTTTGATATAACTATGGACCTTACAGAGAAACACGAATATGATTTTATGTGTGGTTTAAAAAAAAAGTTAATGATTCCTCTAGGGTTGATGTCCTTTAACTATTTACAAAGTCTAAAAAAGTATTAAGAAAAAGTATTTAAAAAGGCAATTGAAAATTTTACATTATTTTATTGATAATGCTTCCTAAACACATTTTCTCTAATATATAATCTAACATTCTTATACTTTCCTTTATAAACATGAAATGTTGTGAAGACAATCTATTTACATCTAACAATATTTGTTTATTCCTAGGTCTTGGTGCCCAGATCGCACTCTTTCCCAAGCCAGAAAGTATATTGCAGATTCACTAGATGAGAAATATACTGAACCAGTCATTTTACAGTTAGAGAAAACTTGGGAGGAAAGCGATACACGGACACCTCTCATCTGTTTCTTGTCTATGGGGTCTGACCCAACTATTCAGATTGACTCCTTGGCTAGGAAGCTTAAACTAGGTATGAGCCTAAACATTCATTCTCATAAATAGTTCAGAATTCAAAAAGGTAATATACCTTTGAGAGGGGAATTGTATTCTGAAAAATTAATTTGTTATAACTATCTTACCATTATTTGTCCCTGGTAACTTTCTCTGTGTCCACGAGGATTTAACCATTATTTAAATAAATGCTACAGTGCTAAAAATATTTTTTCTGGAATATAGTAATGCAGCAAAAGCTGTGCTATCCAGCACTTTATCAACCGGAAAGCTCCACTAACTGGCATCCGAGGGATGCGGCAAAAGTGAAACCAGAAGTCCCACTTCCAGTTTCATCGCCACGAGCCAAGTTCTTCTTCTTCACCTCTTCGGCCCATGGCCTGCCTGGGGCAAAGCAGCCTTCACAGGGCAAAGCAGCCTGCATGGGGCCCCCTTCCCTTGTCCCCTCGCACACTGATGCCAGGGAGTACACCGGCCAGTGCACATTTGATTAACTGGCATCCCCCATTCCCAGGGGATGCTGGATAACAGCTTTTGCTGTAACATATTTTCAGTATTTACATACCTTGTTAGTTATGTTCCTTTCAAACTACCAGGCTATTTATTCTGTCATTGGCTAGGAACAGAATTTACACATAGATTGTTTTAAGTCATCAGAAACTGGTTTAAACCTGTAACAGAACAGAAGTTCAGTGCATATAACTGTTTGTTCATCCTTCGCAAGCGAACATGACCACATACAGTGGGGGTGGGGGGGTAAGAGAGAAGGGAAGCAGGAAAGAAAGAGGGAAGGAGAAAAGAAAAGGGAGAAAGAAAGGAAAAAGGAAAGAAGAGAGAGGAAGGGGGGGGGGTGTTGTGGGTAGGTTGCATGGGTACACGCGTAATTTATAAGCCCAATATTTGCCCTGAACAATCTGCTGCAGCAGGAGCAGGAGTGTAATGAGGACTGGACATGAGAGGTCCTACTTGTCCTCACCATGTGGTTCCTCACTGCCTCTGCTGTGCACCACTGCTCAAAGGCCAGTGCACCACTCTGGACTGATGACCTCCAAGATGGACAGTCACAAGTGATTTGCTCCCATGACTCCGGATTGTTGCCAAAACTCTTTAGGGTGCCCTTGTACCACTTCTTTGGTGCTCCGCGAGAGCGTACTCCATTTGACAGTTTGCCATTGAAGATTTTCTTTGGCAGGCAAGTGTCAGGCATTCTTGAAAGGTGGCTGTGCCAGTTTCAGTAGGGTATGGATACTGGGGAGAGCTGATCTTCTGAGCACCTCAGGGTCTGGAATCTTGTCCTGCCATTTGATCTTTAGTATCTTTCACAGGCAGCACAGGTGGAAGTAGTTTAGTTTCTTGGCATGACACTAGTAGATGGTCTAGGTTTCGTAGGTATAAAGGAGGGTTGGGAGAATGATGGCTTTGTAGACCTTCAGTTTCATTGACATTCTGATGCCCCATGGTCCCAGACCAACTTACGGAGTCTGCCAAAGGCCATACTAGCTTTTGCTAGCTTCATGTTGACTTTGTTGTTGATATGGACATCATGGCTGAAACTAGTTTAAGATAAACTAGGTTGAATGTAGTATCAGATTGAACTGATTTGGATCAAACCGGTTTATGAAAATTCTGTCCTAGACCCCTTCCTGTTTCAAGTTAAATCACAATCCCCCAACTTCCCAGCATGAGCTGTGCTGTCTGCTCTAGCAGAGATGGGTTGGGTGCCGGGGAGGCAGGGAAAACACCAGCTGGGGCCTGGGAGAGGGGTTAAACCCTCTGTCCCCCAAGTACAGAGCTGCTGTGTCCTGTTAAAAATTTACTGCTGGCTGTGACTGTGGACTACAAATCCCAGAGGCACCTGGAAGCAGGAAGAGGAAGTGATGGGCAACCCTGAAGAATCCTGCTTCTGTGATTCTGGACTGGAAATCCCAGAGACCTCAGGGGCAGCTGGAAGAGGAAGAGAACACACAGCCCATGGTGGCTATGTGCCAGGGAGCCATGCTCTAGCTCCTCCTGGCTTCTGCCCTGAGCCAGTGAAGGCATGTGGCTGCATTTCCTGAATCAAAAGTAAATGCGTGGCCAGTTGTTTCTCAGTTTAATCTCTGCAGCTTAAACTAACTTGCAAAGGCTGAATAGATTCAGCCATGAGCTTTTCGGCTGTCTGTACTTAACCATTATCAGTATTTGTGTT